AACAAAACTAATTGCAACTAACAAAAGCAAACCCTCCCATGGTTATAAATGGTATAAGCCAAGCTGCTGTTCTCAATATTGCCCCCCTTCTTTTTTTTTTCTTTTTTTGTTTATCCACCTCTGTTCAGCCAAAGGCCAGAAGCAGCAGCAACTAAGGTAACTCTGAAAACAATAAGAAAAAACGAATATTTGGGCCTTTAAAATATATTGTTATGGTGAATAATTAACTAATTTCTTGACCAAAAACCAAATATTTATCTTTATCTGTAAATTAAATCCTATATTTAAAGGAAGTTAAATATTCTCTATTATATCAGTGTGATTTTGGATTGACATTACCCCGTTTGTGTGACTATAACTGCAGGCATTGCAATTCTAATCGTTTTTCAGTTTTAAAAAGATAATGCAAACATATCTATAGAGTTTGAAACCTTTGAGAAGATTTTAAAACTGGTAACCACGGTTGTGGTAGCATCTTATTGCATAATTTTTCTGTCTGTGCAAGCCATGTGTTGCATAAGGGGGAAACAATAATTAACAAGGGCTTAGTTCACTTTTTGTCAGACATACCATGTAAGAAAATCTTAATGCTTGCAGAGTTTAATAAAAAGAAAAAGTCATAGCTCACTATTCACTATCATTAGTCATTCTTCAAATAGAGCAAATATTTCTTTATTTATTTTTAAGCTCTCTGTGTACCTGCATGCTTTGCCTATTTGCTTTGGCAATGACACAACTGAATTCACCCGCTGTGGAATAAAAGCGTATTTCTACTCTGTTACCAGAGGTGTATCCAGAAAATTTTTATAAGGGTGGCCAGGCAATAACCAGTGTACACTGAGGGGGGGGGCAAAAATGGATAGGCACCAGAACCTCAGGGTCAATCTACACTGTTCCAACAGCCAAATGAACGATCAAAACTTCCATAATTTCTAAATAAAGACAAACTGTACTTCCCTACAGACTTTGCTTACAAATAGATGCATATATGTAAACATCCATGCTTTTTAGATAAAAGGTAAAGTGGATAAAATTCTTTCAGGTTTGAGTTCTGGAGCGAACATCTTTTCCATTGTCATTACTTACCTACTTTTATCAATAACCATCCTGCATAAAATGTATATTTACAAGTACTAATATCTACATAAATTGATAATTTAATACGTTTTTATAAAAATAGTTATTTATCTATGATTTCACTAAAAACTCGTAGATGAATTCAGAGACACATAATTTTCTCTTTACCCCATAAAACACAAAATGTAGCTCTGAAAAGAGCAGGAATTCTGTGCTTACAATCTTTAATGTTAGTATATTGATGTGCATAATTAACCACAGTCTTTTAGTTATCAAATAATTATGAATATCTGAAAAAATAGTAAGTAATATATAAAAATGTTTAATGTTTTGAATATTCCACTTGATTATTAGGGGGAAAACAATGGTAATGACTGACTAAAGGTGGCCATGGGCCACCCCTGGCCCCCCATCTAGCTCCGCCCCTGTCTGTTCCTGAATGGCAATGTGATGTATTTGTTATTAAGGGCAGGGATCCACTATCTGCATAAGGAGAACAATAAAATCCAAATATCTGAATAGATTATACAGCAAATGAAGCCCTACCTTTAAGAAAATAATAATGTGAAATAATTAAAAATAGCATACTTAGATCGTATTTTAAAAAAGACAACAGCCTAACAGTAAAATAGCCGCATGGATGTTTAAAAAAAAAAGAGTTAAAACTGTGTAAGTAATTACAAAAACGATGTTTCAAATATTATATTATTTATTTTTTGCCACTAATTTTTTATGATTCAAGACAAACATTTTACCTTGCAGTTATTGTTTATGTCAATAAAAATACACAGGTATAAAAAGAGGCACAGATTGCGCAAATCCGAAGCTAATTTGAAGCGTATCATAAACTCCATTACCCAGCATGCACCTGGAGCTGTGTCTGCCGATGCGATTGGCTGATAGGTCTCCGCCCGTTACAGTACCCGGTGTGCTTCGGCTGAACTGACAGGGATTTAGCCGAGAACTGGTCTCTCCCTGCAGGTCTCCGAGCTGTCAGAGAACCGTAGTATCATGGCTGCTGGAAGCTTCAGATGCTGCATGATGAGAAACTCTAGAAAAGTCTTCGCTCGGTGCTTCAGCAGCGGCGTCCGGCGGATGTTTTCCAGCGCTACGCACCAGAAAAATGAAATTGAACTCCGGGATTCCGGCTTGAATGCTGCAAACTTCCAGAGCCGATCCAGGCTGGTAAGACTGGATACAGTTTATAGCTTAAAGTTGCTCCTCTGCTCTTTCTCTCTTTCTTTTTTAGCTAAGCCTAATCAGAATTGATGTCAAAGTTGAGACAGTTGGTTCACTTTGAGGCCTGAATCAGATCAGCCCCAAAGGGTTGAATATTAACCAACTTAAGGGCAAAAATATGAAATATAAAACTTCTTGGATACATTTCTTCGGAGATACGTTTTATTGTCAATATTAATGAGCAAAACCTGTGCAAAAATAAAGCTCATAATGTATATTTTTCTCTGAATTATGCTAAGGTTTAACCAATAACTGAATTTAAACAATTTCTTTAAACAAAGTCTATTTTAGAGTAATAATAATAATGTGCTAATCTGACATCTGATATCAGTAACCTTCAGTCTCTAAGGACACTGAAGAGTGATTCAGACTTTTTTTTCTTTTTTAAACTAAAAGATTATTTTTGATTGGCATTTTTAACCCTTTGTAGGTGAAATACTTTGAAAATAAAATTTCCAGCCAATAGTGTTACTGGAATCCAGGAAAACACCTCATTACCTTTGTAAATGTGGATATTTTGATGGCAGAAATTAATGTCAATATAATAACAAGAAAAGTCTACTTGCCCGACTATATTAAGAAATATAACAAAAGTGCTTCTATAAGAAATTCATGAAAAACAAAATTTTTTTGGTACAACATAAATTTAGAGGCAACACTGAAAAAATAAGGCAACCCCTTTTGACATTTATTTAATCATTACTTTAACAATTTTTTTTATATTAGCAGGAGAGGACATAAAACAATTGTGTTAAAGTAACTAAATATGATTAATTAAATGCCAAAAGCGGTTGCCTTATTTTTTCAGTGTTGCCTCTAAATTTATGTTGTA